TCTCGAGAAATTAGAGTAAAAGTCATGACCTAGTTCTTCCTCCTCACTTTAAAAAATGTGATTGAATAAATAGAAACCCAGATGTGTCCCGGGACAGTTTCACTGACTAACTCTTACTGTTACATGCACTATGCAGTTTCAAGACACAGAGGCAGCTGATAGGGGTGATTTGCATTGTTTTCCAGAAATAAGTTATGTTCTGTTATAAATCTACTTGCTCAGTCTCTATTGTCTCACTCATGTGGAGTAACAAGATTTGCAATAAGCACCACCAGACAAGTCTCCAGGGATTACTAAGTTATTTCTATGATTTTCTAATCTTCTACTCTGTGCTTTTATAAAATAAGTATCAAAGCTGAATTAGCAATTGGAAGCACTGGAAATAACTTCTATTATAATCATTTCCCACATGTAATAATTTTCTACATGTTACCACATCAAAGTTTCTGCTGTTCTTGTACAATAAGTCATCAAGGAGGTAGATCACTTCTAAAAAATTAGACTTCCTCTGGGTCTTTATAATATATCATAATGCTATGGAATACTTTTTCTTGGAATTTTTGATATTGCATGTCCCATGACTTAGATTTACCCTGGAGGTTGAAATTTCAGGTCCTGGAATGAGCCTGTACCACCAGTTAATATCTATGTGACTTTGCAAAAATCACTTACTCTTTCTGTGTCTCAGTTTGCTCCTCTGTCAAATAGTTAATAATGTTGATAAAATGAGAAAATGGATGAAAAGCTTAATACATAGTAGTTAGAATGATAAATGTTAGCAATTATGGTAATTTCAAGGTCTCTGTGGTATTCTAGCATTTGGTTTCTTCTGACTTTATCTACATTAAATTGGATAAAAAATTTTATGAACACTAGAGAGTAAATTCCAATGAATTTCTATGTGTAGATAGTGAAATTGGTGGCAAAATGCTGATGGGAATTTTACCTAAAGAGGGGAATGTACTGAGGTGTTGATGAAAATTGACTGATATACTGTCAATTTCTGAAGGGCTCTCATAGCTTTGTCTACACATGGTAAAAAGTATTTTATATTTCTGACTGTCTTTCCTGATGTTTAATTGCTACATATTTTCCCTCTCAAAACATGCTAGCCAAAAATTTTAAAAATACTGGAATACTGACTATGTGAGAATACTTATTGTATCATTGATCTGTCCTTTAAAAAAGTATCCCAAATCCAAGCTGAGCGTGGTAGTGCATGACTGTAATCCCAGAGCTTCGAAGTCTGAGGCAGGAAGGTAGCAAGATTGAGTCCTATCTGAGCAACTTAGTGAGACTCTGTCTTAAAATAAAAAATTAAAAGTGCTGGAAATGGATCTCAGTGCCAAGTCCTGGGGTTCAATCCCCAGTACTTAAAAACAAAACAAAAAATTCCAGTTTATTCAGTCTTTTATATTAGAGTTTGAAACTACTACTTCAGGCTCCTCTTCCCAGAGGCTGACAGAGCATCTGGCTGTGGTGTAGACACCTAGGAAACCCAGAATCATACACAGTACACAGCAAGACACAGTAGATTTAGGTGCTAAAACAGGCAGGGAATTGGACCTCTTGGTTTCCATGTGGTGGCTTCTCTCATGGAGGAAACAACATCAACTTTCATTTACCAGATTCAAATGCTCTAGGTTTGGTATAATAATAAATCTGGTATGGTTAACACATAATCACAATCCTGAAGCATCATATTCAAAGTATGTTTGACTTTTCCCTTTATAAATATTATATATTCATTCACCTACTCAACAAATATTTATTGCATACTAAAATCATATAAAGAAGCATGCTCAATTTTCTCATATATGCCTTCTGGCCCTAACTTATTTATGAAAGCTCTTCAGAGCAGGAACATTATACCTGACTCACATTTTTATCCCAAGGGTCAGCCTGTAGAAGACATTCAACCAGTGCAACAAACATATACTGCATAAATGAAAAATGGTATGTCAAATACTATGTTAGCTGTACAGGACCAAAACAAAATATTTATGCCTATGTCTTGATCATCTTTAAAGTTGGAATTTGAGCAGAACATGATTGCCAATACAGTGGACCCTTGAGTTATAACCTGCTTGACATATGAACAACTCGGGTTATGACCAGAATTTTAGTATTAACTTACAAAACAAAATCTTGAGTTACGACCTGAAAGCTGGCTGCTTGTGCTTCCAGATGGTCTCAGATACAGATTTAGGCCTTAAAGAATTCTGGAAGGAACATTACAACATCCTTTCCTGTGTGGGGCTAATAGAAACCCTGGGCCAATGTCTTTCTAAGGACACTGAGCTCTGCCTGGATACAGAAGAGAGACTTTGAAGGCTGTGTAGAGGAGTCTGAGACTTCAACTGACAAATCTGAGTTACAACCAGCCCTCGTGAATGAATTGAGTTCATAAGTCAAGATTCACTGTACTGTCACTATGAATAATATATTTTGCAGCAGTATTATGTTAGGCTTTTCATTTAGATTAAATATATAGTTATATGCTTATATAAAATAAGAAGACAAAATCAACAACGTATATAAACTCTTAGGAAGTCAAAGTTTTTTTGGTGAAAATAACAGTTTAAAACAGAATTTCTCTAGGGCTTGAATCCCCTTTCATGTAACAAAAGGAAATGAACAAAGAAATCTAAACACACTGAAGTTTTCAGGGCTAAACATTTTGAATCAATATGTTCTGCTATAAAATGTTTGGCCTTGTTTGAATTTTTATTGCTATATGTTCTCAGTTTATATTTAACTGTGAGAAATACAAATAAGAAAGAATGAAAGTGCAGAATGTTCTTTTCAAGTGCATGGCAGTGAATTTGAGAAAACATATATTAAAGGAACACTTTGTGTTTTAAACTTTTAGCCTCTTTTCTAAAGCCTCCCTCAGCCAGATACGATTAAATATTTATTGAACTAAGGACTCGACTTACTTGGAGTGAAACCTCTTAAGGGGCTTCTCAGAGCCACCTAAGATAGGTACCTTATTCACCATGCTCTCAAATAAAACTTCCTTTATGCACTGTCTTTTTCGCGTGTGAAATAAAGTCTAATTAGAAAGTATTATAATGGAGGCATTCAATTCCCCAAATCCTTATTTGCCCGAATTAACTTTTTAAAAATAAGGGTGTTCACTCTGGCATGAGCTTAATTTGGACCCTGTAATCAGCCAACAATCTGTGCCTCACAAAGGCTGGAGTCTTTAACTGCCAGCTCCTTCCATCCATACCTTTTCCATGGGGTAATGCATTTTAATTGGAGATGGAGTTCCTCACATCTCCATATGGCCCAATTAACACACTTTTTTGACTCAGCTTCAACATCTTGGCAATTAACAAGAAGATAGACTTGCCACAATGGGTAATCTTTAAGATGCACAGAATCCTAAAATTAGAGGCCTGTGTACAGGTGGTATATTCAATGGCTTCCTAGGGAATGGCTCATCTACAAAATGGTCTTGTGTTCAATAGTATTTTAACATTGCTCCCTTGGTCTAAACCGCAGTTCCTGAGCAGTGTCACCATGAGAACTGTTAATTTAGATTTAAAATGTCCTCCCACAACCTTATGTGTTTGGAAGATGATTGGATTAGAGGGGCACTGTACTGATCAGTGCACTGATCCATTGATGAGTTCAGTGGCTGATTGTGCTGTTAGGAGGTGGTGCCTGGTTGGAGGTGGGTCACTGGGGGAATGATCTGAAAGAGTGTATTTTCCTGGCTCCTCCCTTTGCTCTCTCTTTCCTGCTACCAGGGTTGAGCACCTTTTCCTCCACCATGCTCATCTGCCATCCTGGTTCTGCCTTGGAGCCGGCCAACCATGGACTGAAACTGTGAGCCAAAATAAACCTCTCTTCCTTTAAGTTGTAGGTGTTTGGTATGTTGTGCCAGCAATGGAAAGTGAGTAAGACAAAAACTTTCTTCTCTCAGGGGCAAATTAGTCATAAAATAGTCAATTTCCAAGGGTAACATAACTTTTAGATAGGATTATTAGAAACTTCTTTATACTGTCAGATTGGGCCAAGTGTAACTAGGAGGAAAAATGGAGAAATAGTTAATAGCATAGGCCATGGAGTTAGATTGGGTTCAAATCCTGTGTAACTTTGGGTATTTACCAACCACTCTATGCCTCAGTTTCCCCCTCAGCAAAGTAGAGATATAAAATCAGTACCTATTTCATAAGATTATTTTGAGTATTAATTAGTTAAGATGGGGTGTCTGACATATTTAGCATAGAACTTGGTTCACAGTCACTAAAAATTATTATTTTTAGGCAAGTTCAGTAGACCAAACTTCTTAGGCAGCAGAAAAGAAGGGGAAGGGTTAATAACAAGTCATTTCTTTGAGGCTCTGGAACATACCTTGACAGAATGTTCATTTTCCTTTAACCCTCAGGGTTATTTGGGTGAAGTGAATACTGCATTCAGGATAAAATGGCTGACCTGTCTTCCTCCCTCCTTCCCTTCCTGTCCCTCCCCTCCCCTTCCCTCCCCTCCCCTTCCCTCCCCTCCCCTTCCCTCCCCTTCCTCCCTTCCTTCTTGTGGTTCTGGGGATGGAACATAGGCCTCATGGATGCTAAGCTAGCACCCTACCACTGAGCTACACCTCCAGCTAATACTTCTTCCTTGATATGCACATATAGACAAGAGATTGTTTCTCTTGCTCATTTCTGGTTCTACATTCCCCTCCCTCCCCACATCTTTGGTTTTTCTCACTGTCTCTTTGATGAGATGCTTTTCTTAGCATGAGCAGAGATCAGTCACAACTCTGTACACTATTAAAACTTGGGATGTTTATACAAGAGGAAGGACAGTTGGAACAGTGGGCCTCATAGTTCTCTGTAAATACTTTTTTTTTTTTTTTTTGTACCTGGGATCAAAGTCAGGTCCTTGCGCTTGCAAGGCAGGAGGCAGAACCACTGAGCTAAATCCCCGGCCTGAGTTCTCCATAAATACAAGGGTCACCAATGATTCTTAGCAGCAAGTGGGGGTCTCACCAGTTGCTTTTTCAGGGTTGTTGCACATGAAGCACTGCCATGCTCCTGCTGTTTCACTGAAGCCAAACACATCAAAGAATCTCACTTCTTCTAGATGGAGCTGTACCTGGTCCAGATCCTGTTTCAGGAACACAAAGCACAAAAAACATGAGCTAATCTGCCTGCTACACAGCATCCTGAGACTAGAAAAGGGTGATGTGGAATCGGAACGATCAGTGCTCAAAGGCCCAAAAGAAATCACTGAAAAGACTTCTCTTGGTTGGCCTTAGAAGAGTCGTCAACTCAAACTTATCCCATGGGAGTACAGAGCAAAGGAGCATGGGCCAGGGCTGGGTGTTGAGGGTGGATGGGTTAGAACCTGAAATGGCCCAGAATTTTCTTGTATGTAGCAGCAGCTCCAGAATTTATAAAAAGGAGGAACATCCAGGTGGCAGTTGAAGGAATATTGTTGGAAGATTTTCCTTTTATTTACACTTTATATAAAATGTACATTAAGAACCAAGTATTCATATCAGAATATATGGTTTTTATCAGATTGGCTTTGCAGAGGCTGATGGAAAATATGAGGATGGGCTTAATCCCTCAGCCCTTGGCTCCAGCACTGTTTCAGTTTTATCTTAAAAATATATGCAAATTTTGCATTCTGTTCCATAATAAAGCTCTACTGGTTTTAATGGAAAATGATGTCTTAAGTTATTTATCTGTAAATTAGTTAACTTTGTTTTCTTTGAGTGATTTAGTGGAATTTGATCACTAAGCAGGCTGCCCATTTTTACATGCCCTGTGGCACCCTGCCAGTCTGCTCCTGTTGAAGGTAGAAGATCCATTAGGCTGTAAATGGAAGAAAAACTATTAGCCTAATCAAATTAAATAGCTCTACTTTCCTCCAGAAGCTTGCTTATTATGTAAGTAACTGGAATCCTTCCTTACAGGGTGGCTAGGACTGTACTTTTAAAATGGTTACTCCTTCTAAGAGGGACTTAATGTTCTTGCTAGCCTTCCATGTGCCTAGTCAATTTATGTGTTCTCCTTTGTTGAGTGATGATTTTATTTCTTTTCTTTGATCACCATACTCTTATCCTCTCTACCCATAGTAATAATTATTAGTATTCCCAAGAACCAAGTGATATAGGTAATGTTTACATTGTTTATAAGGGATCTAAATAGAGAATGGTCAAGTGGCTACCCAGATCCTATCCCAAAGCCCCTGATTTCTGCTTCTACATTTCCTGCCATAGGTGAGAAGTATGCTAGACTGTAAGTTCCCTGAGAGCATCAATATATCTGTTTTGTTTACAGTTGCATCCCCAGGAACTAGTCCAGTCTCAGTAATGGAATAACATCATTGGTTTTTAGGACTAGTGCAAAGCTCCTTTTTCAATAAACTATATGAAGGGTCTTATGGAAAATTTAGGGGAATTCTTTTTTTTAGAGTACATTCACATTCACTAGAGCATAAACAAAATGTGAACAAGGATTTTGTCTGTTGTGTTGGCTGCTGTAACCTCATACTTACCAGTGTCTGTCACATAGAAAACATTGAATATATGGAATAATGAGAGGCACATACTGAGACTAGCAATGGATACTTTTCAACACCTTTACTAAGACTATTAAAGTGTGTGTTCAGGGATAGGACATTTTAGAGGTCAACATGCTGAATATGGCATTTTGGGTTGCTTATCACAGGCATTCTGACAGGCACTGTATATATAAGAATGTATTTTTAACAAAAGTGATTTAGAATGTGTTCAATGGAAAAAAACCTTTCTTTTTCACAAAAAGAACGTTCCCCAAGATAAAAATTGAAGAAACACCTGTGAGTTTTGTAGGTTTCAAAGGATAAAATGCATATTAAAATTTATGGGAAAAAAGCAGATGTTCATAAATATCAGTTTCAAAACTGCTAAGTCTCTGAAGTCTGTACTGGGGCATTGGCATGCAGATCACTTTTCTGTTTCCCACACAATTAAGGATCAATTTTTCATCCAGCCCCCAACACTGTAGCAAACAAAGTACTTAAAATAATACTTAGAGGTTCTTTTATTTTTCCTGTTCTGAGACCAGTAATGTCCCAGATTATTACCTATAATCCACATTTGTCTTGGCAAAAGTTACTTAAATAGTTTAAGACAGATGGTAAGTTACATCCCAGTGTTTGAGTTCTGAAGCTAAAAGCAGGCTCAGCTCTTCAAAGGATTTAGGTACTATGCAAAGGGAGCTGAGAAAAGGAGGTAGATGATAGATCTATGAAGTATTCAAGTCTGCAACAACAGCCAGCTTCAAATGGAGAGACAGACGAAACATGTAACTTAAAATATTTGTGGAAAATCTTGATAAATTACAAAGCAAGCAAGCACAAATCAACTACCAGAGCTTCTAAATTTTTAAGATTTTGACCCCTTAAAAGTATTTGAGATCATTTGTCTTCCCTACTTATCTTCTTTATCCTTCTAGGTCTTACAGCTTCTTGGTCTTGCTCAAGAATTACTATACAGCTTGCACTTTTTAAATACAAGAGAAGTAAAGTTGATTTGGAGAATTTCAGACTTCTTTTAAAACAACTAAAATTCAGGAAAATGATAAAGACAATTCATATCAAACTCTAAGTCACTTCGTGTTTTAATTCTAATGGGACTGTGGCAGGTGGACCCTCTATGGCCTCCCAACTCTTGGTGCTCATCTGTTTGTATAATCCCTTCCACTGAGTATGAATTGCTTTTTACCAAGAATATGTCAAAGATGATGGCTTATCCATCTCATGATTATTAAACACACACACACACACACTCACACACCATATGTACATGTGAGCTGTCTTGTTAGCAGATAGATTCATGACTCTTCTGCTGACCTTGAAGAAGCAAGTTGCCATCGTGCGAACTTCAGAGAAGTATGAATGACTTTCTAACAGCCAGTAAGAGATCCAATCCTTCAGTCCTACAACTGCAAATAAGTGATTTCTGCCAATGACCTGACCTCTTAACCAATTCTAAATGTAAATGACAATTTTATTTAAGAGTCACATTCTCCCAAAGATTCTTCAAATCAGTCCTCAATAAAACTTGAAGTTCAAATTATTTATATTGACTTGAAAAATGTTATCTAATTGTCATAATAAACATGCACTAAGAAAGATTTTCCTGACAAGATTTATTTCATTCAAACAAGAAAAAAGTCATTGGAGGGAAAATGGTCTTTAAAAACAGTTGGTTAGATGAGTTTTTCTCCAACTGTAAAAAAAAATCATTAATGTGAGTAACAATTTAGGAAAAAAATGTAAAAAAAGCGCTTTACAAAGACTCTTAGGGGAAAATAAACCAAGCAACTTGGAAAGATGAGAGGATATTTATAACATTATTTTGCTGACAAATGACTGTATGAGTCAACACAATGGATTCTGTAAAAATGTATAGTGGCTCTGGATCTTGTAACATAGCCTACATACTGAGAAAAGGTACTGTGAAACAATTTTCCAGAAATCAGTGAAAGCATACATCTGGAAGAACTTTGGGTTCTGGCATATTTAAATTCTGTCCTAAAGCTTTTTGTGCACAGCAAGAAAACATAAGCTTGCCTCATGCACTCTGTGAGCCTCTGGTTAAGAGGATCAAATCTAGTCACATCGTTGAAGTATGTTTTAAGAAACATAAGCAAAAATTTTTTAAATGCTCAATATTTTCACATAATAATGAGGACTTTCTGTCTTTATTGTTATTTCTAGTGCAAATACTCTTAACTTAGAGCTGAGTGGGAAATGAACTTTTTGAGGGAACATTATTAGCAATTCGTTTTTATAATGTCTTACATTATACAGGTATTAGTATTTTGTAAAAAACAACTCCACTGGATTTTGAATGAATAAATAGAAAAAGAGACTTTAAAGAATATTCACTCTATAATTTAATCTTTTTATGTCTTTTAACTTCTGAAAAAGATTACTACGGAATTCAATTCATAGCAGTTGGTATTTCTATCACCTGGTATCAGAAACCATTTGCCAAAAATGAAGGAGATACATTTCTGTATTCCAAGGAAGCCAGGTAGCCCACAGTATTCCTCACAAAGGAAAATTGGAATATGCTTTCATTTGTGTGTGGTGTGATTGCTGTTAAGCTTCTTCTTGTAGGACTTAGCATTCAACCGGATCAAATCTTCTGGATCAGATCTTCAGCTGGTCTTCTGAAGATCAGTTCTATATTGTTTTGTAGCTTTGGAAGACTGATTTGTCCTTAGTAGACATTCAACAAATTACTATAGATTTTAACTTATTCAGGGACATAGATCTTATCTCTAATTTATATCAATGGTAGCATTTAAGTTTTCTATTTTCATGTCTGTTAACCATTACCATTAAACTTTTTAGAATCTCTCTCTCTCTCTCTGTCTCTCTCTGTCTCTCTCTCTCTCTCTCTGTCTCTCTCATGTTTTGAGATGGGACCTTGCTATATTATCCAGGCTAGCCTCAAACTCCTGGACTTGAATTATCCTATTGCTCCAGCCTCTCCAGCCTGGAACTGCAGGCAAATACCACTGCACTCAGCTCCAAAACATTTATTTATGACTGACTCTTGGAGGTGGGGGGTTGTAGCTCAGTGGTAGAGCACTTCTTTGTGTGTGTGAGACCCTGGGTTTGATCCCCAGTACTGCAGAAAAGTATGTATAACTATAATTTCATTTCCATGGGTATTATAAGAATTCATATTATTTCATTTTATTTAAGAAGTCTTCAGAATAAAATGTTAATAATTGAAGAAGATGTCTTGGTATTGACATCAGGAATCCCTGGGAAAATTGCCATGAACATCAGGTGCAGGTCCCACCCTGAAAGCCTAACATTATGATTCTATGGTCAGGCATGGGCATCTGCACTTTTAAACAAAATCCCTAAGTTATTCTGATATGCTCTGATTGGAAAGTTAACCATATATGCTGTTGGGAACAGATGTGGGAATGGCTGATATGTGTCCAGTAAGTGGTGTTGGAGGAACTTGTCAGTTTCCATGTGCATATACTTTTACTTTTCCACAATATTTGCTTTCATATTACAAGGTACAAAATGGTCTAGTCAAAAGAGCACAGATTTCATTCTTGAAAATCAGATGTGTTGGGCAGGGG